CAAGAAGAGACTCACCATATTTTGTACATTTTAGATAGGATTTATTTGGCAAACTTTTGAGCTGACGTCATCAAGTTTTTGGAGGGGATAACCAAATATATTTTGACTAAAGATTTATGATGCTCTTTAGAGCCTTAAAACATCTGCAACATTTCAAAACATTCGGGTTAGCAGATTCAAAATTAAATTGCAAAATGTTGTTTTATAATTTTGATTTTTTTCCCAAAAATCTGGACGTTTCGGGTAAAAACTGAATTCGGAGTCGTAAACTACATGCGTAGGACTATGTTATTTTATACAATTTAAGACCTATTTACTATGTACAATTTTGAAGTGGCGTCATCGCATTAGTGGTGGGGATGATTAGACAAATTTTGGTTAGCGTTTTACCATCTACATGATATTCCTAATATAAGTACCTACAAAATTTCACAACAATCGGTCCAGTACTTTCGGAGATTATCTGTCTAATAAAAATCCGGGACGGCAGACGGACAGACGGACGGACAGATGGACGGACAGACGGACGCACAGACGGACAGACGGACGGACAGACGGACGGACAGACGGACGGACAGACGGACGGACAGACAGACGGAAATGGGAGACCTATTTCTTCGTCTTCTAGGGGTCATGAAAGATCGAGAAAACGTAAAAGCAGAGAGTCGGCCGACGGACTCGATTACAATACTTCCTTTGCTTACGCTCGGGAAGTAAAAAATGAAAAACTTAAAATTTTACAATATTTTGGATCTTCGCTTCTGCACTTTTTCGATTTTTAAGTTTCCCAATTTTTAATCTTTCGATTTTTACTTCCCGAGCGTAAGCAAAGGAAGTATTGTAATCGAGTCCGTCGGCCGACTCTCTACTTTTACGTTTTCTCGATCTTTCATGACTCCTAGAATACGAAGAAATAGGTCTCCCATTTCCGTCTGTCTGTCCGTCTGTCCGTCCGTCCGTCTGTCCGTCTGTCCGTCTGTCCGTCTGTCCGTCTGTCCGTGTGTCCGTCTGTCCGTCTGTCCGTCTGCCGTCCCGGATTTTTATTAGACAGATAATCTCCGAAAGTACTGGACCGATTGTTGTGAAATTTTGTACTTATATTAGGAATATCATGTAGATGGTAAAACGCTAACCAAAATTTGTCTAATCATCCCCACCACTAATGCGATGACGTCACTTCAAAATTGTACATAGTAAATGGGTCTGAAATTGTATAAAATAACATAGTTCTACACATGTAGTTTACGACTCCGAATTCAGTTTTTACCCAAAACGTCCAGATTTTTGGAAAAAAAATCAAAATCATAAAACAACATTTTGCAAATGAATTATGAATCTGCTAACCCGAATGTTTTAAAATGTTGCAGATGTTTTAAGGCTCTAAAGAGCATCATAAATCTTTAGTCAACATATATTTGGTTATCCCCTCCAAAAACTTGATGACGTCAGCTCAAAAGTTTGCCGAATTAATCCTATCTAAAATGTACAAAATATGATGCGTCTGTACTTGTGATATATCACTCCATTCATATTTTTTGGATTTGCATATACAGGTGACTCAAAAAAATTAATGAATGCGCAAAATTTATTTTACTGATTTACTCAGGAACTACAAAACCGAATTCTTTGAAATCTTGAAGATGTTTTAAAATTATCATAAGCATGGTAAATTTTTGATCAAAATGTATTTGGTCGTCCCCTCCTAAAAAATTTATGACGTCACCACAAAATTTTGCTGAATAAATCCTATCTAAAATGAAGAAAATATGGTGAGTCTCTTGTTGTGATTTATCATTCCATTCAAATTTTTTCGATTTGCATATACAGGGTGACCGAAAAAAATTAATGAATGCGTCAATTTATTTTATTGATTTAATCAGGAATTACAGAACCGAATGCTTTGAAATCTTGGAGATGTTTTAAAGTTATCATAAACATGGTAAATTGTTTATCAAAATGTATTTGCTAATCCCCCCTCAAAAAATTTGATGACGTCAGCTCGAAAGTTTGCCGAATAAATCCTATCTAAAGCGTAAAAATATGATGAGTCTGTACTTGTGATTTATCACTTCATTCATATTTTTTAGATTTTCTTAAGAGGTGGCTCAAAAAAATTAATGAAGTCAATTTATTTTATTGATTAAATTAAATTCAACACTTATTATTAGTATTACATTGGACCAACCCAATTTGGTAGACACAAAATTTTTTAAAGTAAAAACTCGGTTGAAACATAAGGGTAGCACGCTTATTTACATCGACTTTAACATTACAGACGTGTGCGCTGTCTAGGTTCCGCGAATGTGGAATAGACATGTTTATAATCAACCAATTGTGAATTCCACCGTCAAAAATTAAAATAAAACTTAATGTTTTATATAATAAGCGGAAGTCGACGCAATAAAACCGATTGTCGTTTTGTTTACAGTTTCTCTGTTTGACTCTCACGTATGCTGTTACGCTTGTCATCTTAAATTAAGAATGTTTATACATAAACGATTTTCAGTTGCCTCTCATATTACTAGACAGCGGATTTCTGTCGGGCTACGTCACGATTATAGGTGGGGACGCGCTGGATCGCCGGGACTCAATAGCGGGTGATAGATAATCACTGAATTTAATCGGTACTAATTCCATAAATATAATTAACGATTTATTAATCAAACGGCTAAGTAAATGAGAACGGGAATTAACAGCAGAGTGCAACTAAACAGCGTTATTCTAATCTCAAATAAACGAAGTGCAGTCCGTAACCGCAACGAATTCGCATCCCGTACGAGCCGTACCGAGTTTGGCCTTGCCTAGCCCGACAGAAATCCGCTCTCCACATATTACACACCGGCGCCGTATACGTGAGTAAATTGTTTCGTTATTTTATTGATTATAACAAATCAATATTCAAAACGACCCAATTCATTTTCCCGAAAATTTGGGAATACAATAATTTTATTCTTAGTATTACACTACATCTATCCCAACTGATATACGTGTCCTTGCAAAAATGTTGATGACGTCATCACATTTTTTTTTTAAATTCCCACTACAAAAATGTAATGAGAATAAAATACAATAGGCATGCAGTCGTCAAGTTTCCGACAGCGAGGGAAGTACTGTCTAAATTCTTTAGACCAATTTTTTTAATTTTCCGTTTCTTCAATTTTCCAAGTTCTTGATTTCCAATTTTCTGATTTTTTAATGTTTTCATTTTTAATTTTTTATTGTTCAATTTTACAATTTTGCATCTTCTCAATTAAAAATCAAGAAACTTAAAAAAATCAATGAATCTTAAAATGGGAAAGAAGGAAAACGAATGAATAGAATCGAATCGAAAATTTGAAAAACCTTAAAATTGTAAAATCGAAAAATTGTGGAATCTTCAAAATTGTTGAAACACTAACACTGAAAGATCCAATAATTGAAAAATTAAATAGGTATCCAAAAATTGAAAAGTTAAAAATCGAGAAACTAAAAAATTAAAAATCAAACAACTAAATATCGAAGAAATGAAAAATCGAATAAATCACAAATTATTGAAAAACATGTTACAATAATTGAAAAATAGAAAACCTTAAAGTCGGAAAAGTGAAAAATTTTAAAATTTACTTTTAGTTATTAAGACTTATTTAAATTAAAAACTAGAGAAATCGTAAATCAAAAATTCAAGAAACAAAAAATTGAAAAATCGGGAAACTGAAAAATCTAAAATTGAAAAAATAAAAAATTAAAAAATCTAAAACTTGAAAAATTGAAAAATTGCAAATTGGAAAAACAAGCAATTATAAAAACAGAACATTGAAAAATAGAAAAATTGTAAAAATAATAAAAATAAATAATCGAAACGAAAATTTGCAAACCGAAAATTTAAAGAAATGGAAAATTAAAAAATCGAAAAATTGAAAAAAAAGATTTAAAACGAAAAATTGCAAAATTAAAAATTGAAGAAACCAAAAAAAAAAAAAACTGAAAAATTGCATATAGAAAAATTGAAGAAACGGAAAGCTGAAATAATTCAAAAGTTGGAAAATTAAATAGCTGAAAAATTTAAACCTGAAAACTTGAAAAAATTGTAAATCGAAAACTGCAAAACAAAAAAATAGAGGAATTGAAAAATTCAAGTCATAAACTCCACTTGCATGTCATAAAACCTCATAAAATCTGTTAGCAAATCTTCGTTAGTTCGTGTGTTGAAAGAAAAGCAAATATAGTTTTGAAATTCGCAGAAGTAGTAAAATTTGTGTTTGCAGATGACGAATCAGTATCAGGGGGTTCCGAGAAATGTAGGTATTTTTTTTGGTTACATTGCTATTGTAATGAGCAAATATTTGTTTCGTGTTGTTACAGGCGACTAAAGCAGCACTTGCGTTTACGGAGAATTTATTTTGGTGTTTTCGGTGTAGCCCATGATAGAAGAGTTTTTTATTTTAATTCCAAAAGACAGTTCGGTAGAAAGCAGTGATAGCGGATTATGCGAGAGGGTTCTTGGAAGGTAATCGAAATCTTAGAAAAACCAGAATTATTATGAAGGGCGAATAAAAGACAGATTTTATGAGGTTTTATGACATGCAGGTGGAGTTGACTTGAATTTTTCAATTCTTCTATTTTCAGGTTTCAGTTTTCAGGTTTAAATTTTTCAGTTATTTAATTTCCCAACTTTTGGATTTTTTCAGCTTTCCGTTTCTTCAATTTTTCTATTTGCAATTTTTCGTTTCGTTTTCTTATTTTTAAAAACAAATGCTGTTTTCGTCGCATGAACATTCACAAAACAAATATTTGCTTTACTTATACTCATTCTTAACAATACTTATTTATGTAGAAGCATTACTTATTTAAATAAAGTTTTGATGCGTTCGGCGCAACTAGAAAAATCTAGGTAGCTTAATGAGATTAGCGTTTTAAATGGGGCTAACTGTATCTTATGAATCACTACAAAAATTTCAAATATTCCTGACAATAGAATTATAAAAATGCCACTACATTAATATTAATAATTTAATCCTTACCGCAGTTTTTAGCCATGGAGTCAAGATTGCAAAGAGCATGCAAACTGATGCGTTCATTTCCCGCTAGAAGTTTTGCTTTTATAGCCATAAGGGCAAATTTCGTACTACAATGAGAATTAAAAATATAAATGATTCGACATAACGTATCTAAATTTCTCGTACTCTACAAAACCTTTGACAATTAAATCGCATAACTGTACAATTCTAATCCAGTCTGGTTCTCTTAGCGAAGGGCTGGTGGACTGACCTTAAAACAAAAAAAATAGGATACAAATTGTTCTTTAGTTGGCACTTGATGATCAGTTGCGTTTCTCATACTGAACAAATTTAATTTTTCACATTTTAGCCATTTTTTTTGTTTTGTCATACTATGCCGTGCAAACTAGAGAATAATTTTTGCTGACCATGCTATAGATTATGTCTTACTTAACAATTTGTGAAAAATGTCTTCAGATCGAGACATGTCAAATTTTTGCTGCTTAGTTAACACCAGCACTATTTAAACTGGGAAGTGCAGCACGTAGATAATATAAAGTAAACAAATGTGAATGAATAAGCAGTTGCTTTTTGTAGGAATTTTTTAAGGAAATCCTTCAATTTACGTAGATTCATTAAATTTTCAGCAAATATTTATAAGCAAAAGCTTAATCTTAGGTAACAAGTATAAGCTTTTCCTTCCATCGGTATTCAAAACAATCACCTTTTCCTTGACAAATTAAGCATATCTTTAAAAAACATAAGTCTGGTTCTTCAGTTGCTTAGTACCAGTCTAGGAATTAAAATATTTAATAAAATAGTACGAAAACAAAAATTTTATAAAGAAAGACGCGCTGACCGTCAGGAGGAAGATTTTATAAAATTATTTTGCTTCCGATCAGAAAGTGCACAACAGCTTTCTAAGCATTTTCTCCCACAAATTGCAGAAACAGGCAGAGGAGATATTGATAATAATACAACAAAAATAATTTTTTTTCTTTCGTCAATTTTTACATTTTTTTAAATTGTGTGGAATTTGTAAGTGGGCTTTCCCAACGTCAAACGTCAGATAACATTAAAATCGTGACAGATAGTTCGATCTGACTGCTGCTTATGCCACCAGATGGCGCTCTCCAAACTCAATAAAAAAATCAATTGCTATTATTTTAAAACATTTAACAGATGCATTTATCCGGTTTCTTATTTTGGTGAACACAAGCTTTATCATTATTGATGACGTGTCAATTTTTTTAAGGGTTTTAAAACTCTGAAAATTTCTGTGGTTATTACCGCACTTAATTTGGTAAATGACAGTTCAATGTGTAAAAATCAAAATACCATGGCTATCTACGATACGTAAATGTCAGTTTTACAGTTGTCGAGGGCAAAAAAATAATTAGGGGCGCAACTTGACTGGATTGTCTCGTTCTGAATGCATCGCTGTCGAAGATAACCTCTATTTAAACCCATACTTCCTTCCTAGATATTACGCGATCGAGGTTTTTCTGGAGTACCGATCCTTCGCTAGTTTCGCTTCCAGGCTTTTCTTTACATACGAGAAAACCCGTAAGCGTCGAACTGGGACGGCGTATGAGTTTATTTCTTAATAATATGTTAAAATTTATTACAACTTTTGAAATATCGAAGTTTCATTTTGTGAGATAGAGCACTCTCTATTTTATTGTTACATCTCAGTGTGCTTTTTTGTTTCCCGAGTGTAAGTGAAGGAAGTATTGTAATCGAGTCCGTCGATCGTCTCTCTACTTTTACGTTTTTTCGACACCTAGAGTATAAAAATAGGTCCCCCGTTTCCGTCTGTGTCTCCGAAACTACTAGGCCGATCATTGTCAAATTTTACATGTGTATTGTGAATATCATGTAGATGGTAAAACGCTAACCAAACTTTGTCTAATCATCCCCACCAAAATGTGGTGACGTAAACTTGTACATAGTAAATGGGTTTTAAATTGTATAAAAAAATATAGGCTTTCACATTTAGATTGTGACTCCGTGTGGAATTTTTACTCGAAACTTCCAAATTTTTGGGAAAAAATAAAAATTTGAAAACAACATTTTGCAATTTAATTAGTTATTTTAAAGTTATGACAAGCATGATAAATTATTAAATCCAAACATATTTGCTTATCCCCTCCAAAAAATTGATGGCGTCGTCTCAAAATTTTGGGGCGAACATTATTGCAATTTCTTTTGTGAACCCTTGCGTTGCTAAAAACAATTGTCAGGCGAGAACAGATAAAAGGAACACTCTGTATAGTACTTGTAAATTAAGACAAACACGTCTGCAAGAATTCAAAGTATTCAGTTTTGCAGTTCTTGATTTAATCAAAAAAATTAATTGACCCAATCATTAGTTTTTTTCAAACACTCCGTATAAGCAAATCTTAAAAATATTAATGCAGTGGCAGATGTTATTTAACATCTATACTCACTGGCAGTGGTAAATCACCAGTACCTATAGGCTCATCATTCTTTACACATTTAAGATAGCATTTTTTCAGGAAAATTTTGAGGTGACGTCATCAACTTTTTGGAGTTGATAAATAAATATATTTTGATTAAAAATTTATCATGCTCATCCTAATTGTAAACTGTCTGCACCATTCGGTTTTGCAGATTTAAAATTAAATTGTAAAATGTTGTTTCGATTACAATACTTCCTTTGCTTACGCTCGGGAAGTAAAAATCAAGAAAACTGGGGTAACGTGATAACGTCGCATTAATATTTCAAAAATAAACTGTGGTTTTAAAGTCTAAAAAGAGGCTAACAAGTTTACAACACTTTCTATAGTTCAAAATAAGCTAATCAAAGAACTGTACAACTTTAATCTCTAACCCTCATTGGACGACTGGCTATTTTCCTGTTTTCTCGATGTATCCTGACCCCCAGAGTACAATTTGTATTCGAAAGATAATAATCTGCGAAACTACTGGACCAATTGTTGCCAAATTTTATATGTATGTTTGAAATGTAGAGTAGACAGTAAAACGCTAACCAAAATTTGTGTAGTCATCCCAACGAACATCATCTCCAACAGTTACATTTAAATGTTATTTAAATTTTATATAATTTGGTTTTTATGTTAAGTATACAAAATCAAAATTTATCTATTTAGCCCCTCTCAATGTTGTTGTTTATCAATGCAATATTATTTTTTAGAATTACTTGTCTTATTGACTCAAAAAAATTAATGAACGAGTGAAATTAGTTGATGAAATTAGGAACGGCCCATCCCATTTTCCCTAAAATTTGGGAATACATTACTGTTATTGCCAGCATGTATTGGACATATCTACTTCGGAAAAGAGAAAAGTTCTGCTTATCTAATCCAACAAGATTATCTAGTTGCCCATGTATTTTATAATGCTGTCCGTTTTTTCAAAAGCATAGGATTATTTTGGGAGCGTTGTGGGTTGTGTATAGAGTGGTCCCTTTGTATTGGAGAACTTATTTAAACTAGGTTACTAACTTACTTGTCTTATCATTTGTAGATAATCATTGACAGTTTTATTTTTTATTAGTTTTAATCTCAATTTGGAAAGAATCGCAAGAATTTTGAAAATTCCCGGACATTCTTGTGATGACCGTGGGTACATTTTTGTGTAACATTGTAACAATGTGGTTGATTATGAAAACTACGAGTGTTGCAAGTGTTAAAACCAAGAAAACCATTTCTTGTGAAAATTTTAATTCAGAACTTACGGCTGGCGAGAACTGGATTTTAGAAAATTCAAAACATGTTCCAGTGGGGTCCGTAATTGATGATAGATGGACAGGTAAATTCAAACCACAATATTCGAAGATGGCAGAAAAAATAGTAATAATAATAATGAGATTATGCTTAGCTAGAGGCACATGAAAGAATGACAGACAACTTCAATATTGACAATATTCTCATTAATTATTATTATTATTAGAAATAGAGAAAGTCATTGTATGGCTCTTTGAGGACCATACACTTAGTTTTTTCAGTTGGAGTACTCTATATGTTTTTGCATATTCTGATTGACTTCTTCTTAGGCTTTGAAAGCACGGTTGCCACGTTGTTCCAAATTTCTATAACTTTTGAGCAGTGGAAGGGTTTAAAAAAAATCGCAGTAGGTTTATTATCACTTCGTCCCAAAGTATTTCTACTCTCGTAGCTCTACTAATTTAGTAAATATTAGTTGTTCACAAAAGTGGAAATACCCTTAATTATCAAATACAGTTGACTTAAAATCTAAAGTAAATACAACATCTGATTCACTTTATCCACAACTTCAAGTAATTTTTTTTAGTGAACATGTGGTGATAAAACAGCATATCAAAATCATGACATTCAGGTTATAGTTAATTGTCTTGTTAATGTTGTAGGTTTTGAGATTTTTCACACTAGTTATCAACGCTTCGAAAATATAACTTCTGCGTCAGTATCTATAAATTGTGCAGTTGTACTGGATGTGGAATTTTTTGCTGATGACGGAGAAAGCTTAGACTATTATAAAGTACGTTGTTTCAACCATACAGGCACATGGCAAAATTTTTCTGTAGTAGTCATACATGAAAGAATTTATTATACGCACAATAATCAATTAATGCGCACTAAGGCAGATCTGACTCCCATTCAAATCGTTATTAAGACTTCACAAACCACGGAATGGAAAATACAAAATTGTAAGTGAATTTATATTTTTATATCTGAATAACAATAATTAAATGTAATATCAGATGAGGTATTGTGGGCCAACAACAATACGAATAATCTTTGGCCTCTGAAAATTCCAGAACAAGAAGAATGGAACTCATTAGCCGTATACAGTTTTCTCTGCAAAGAATGCATCTTACATGTGTTTTATGGTAACAAGTCAATTAATATCACAGGTGCTAACAACGAAACTTTTCTTTGGAGCCAGTCATGGAAACAGAATGAAATTACGTTAAATAATTCGAAATCTGCAAAAATCAACTTTATGATATCTGTGAATAATTCGCTTACAAACTTGATGAATGACAACAAATTTTGGGGTCTTGATATACATTTGTGCAAAATCAAAAACGGTAACCTTTTTTCTATTTTTCTCTGGGTTATAGTTATAACAAATATTTTGATAGATTACAAACAGCAAATAAATGGTCCCGCACAACGCGTTTCACCCATATACACTATCCAAGGTAAGTTGTCATTTATTTTAAAACAAATTCTACTATTCTATAAACTGAAAAACTATATTCTTGAATTCTTCATATTTTCAGTTGTGATAAAATAATTTCTTTATTCTCTGTACAATCTTGATAAATTTATGATTACCTTTTTTTAGTTTGCATTGGAATTTTGGTACTGTCTGTTTTTTGAAGTCTTTTAAGAATTTTTGAATCGAACGTGTCGGCGACTACCTGAATATTTAAAACGTTTTGTTCTCCCCGAGTGTAACCTGAAACAGAGACTACCAACGTTTTTGCGACGTTTCACGATGCTGAAGTATGAAAAAATAAGTCTTCCTTTTCCGTCTACCTGTCTCGAATTTTATTAGACACATAATTTCCGAAACTACTAGACCGATTGTTGTCAATTGTTGTATGTATGTTAGAAAACAGAGACGTTCTGAATTACACTAATACAAAGGTAGCTTACCTTTATGAATGATTGAAAGATGGCAAAATTATGAAAGAATTGAATACAGTTTATTCACATTTATTCTATGGAATCTTGTCAAGTCCAAAGGATTAGGTACTGCCAATATCATCAGTTTTCATAAGTACCTTCGATGAAAAAGTTAATTTAATTACGTTGGAAACACCAAACTTGTAGTTAATATATTGAAAACTACTCTGGAACCACGCTAGGATGAATGTGAATAAAACAATATGTGGAAGTCTGTCTGTCTATATGTCGTCATCGCTTGTCTGTGTTGATCTTTAAACAGCATTTTACAATTTAACTTTGAAACTACAGAGTTGCAGAATCTTGCAAACGTGTCGAGGTAAGCATAATAAATCGTTAATCTAAATTTATCCATTGATGACCTTATCACAGACTTTTGCAACGGAAAAACTCACTTTAAACAAACGCATAGCATGCTTCTATACATTTACTTTAACATTACATGCAGATGTTTATTTTAATTTATAGGTGTTATAATTAAAAAAAAATAATAAACTCGCAAAAATTAAATAAACTCGCAAAAATTAAATATTATCGTTTTTCTAACAAGCTGTACTGTAATTTAGGGACTAGGGAAGTTCTATTTAAACAAATTTGGACAAATTTTTTTATATGTAATTGTTATGTATGGCAGGTTTTAGGTTATGAACGCAAATTTTGTTGTATTTATTTTCCATATGTCAATAGTTTTGTGCCGACATGTCAAGTGATTGCACATATGAGTTTGGGTAAGGGTAATTATATTATTGAAATACATATATTTTTTATATTTATTTTTTTAAATTCTAGGATCATTACGTTAATTCTTAGAATAATCTGTAATGTTAAGATTACAGAAATTAGCATCTAAAATAAAGCTGTATTAATGTGTTGGTCACTAGAACTTATTACTAAGTGTATAGTGAACCAAGACCTATAAGGTTATATGGCCATCATAAAAGTAGTTGACCGCAAATAAATACCCCCTTTGTGTGGTTCGCACTAAGCTTACCGGTTGGCAATAAATCATCTTCTAAACATTTCTTGCTCATATTTAACAGGGTCGGCTTTCAAAGCGAGTGGTTATTTCGGAACCCTCAGCGGCTGCAGGTAGTAAAGAAATAGTGGAGTGGTGGATTTTCATATTTAGTGAAAGCCGCCCCTGAACGAAACCACAAGAGCCGGTCGAGCTGCAGTGGACACGTTATTTACGACCCTAAAACCTTTTCTATTGTAAACAACTTAACTTCGACACAATGGGATGATTTTATGATGGCCATATAACCTTATAACTCTTGGTTCACTATATATGTATATATTTTCTTAGTCCTTTCATTGGAAAATATGTCTGTTTATATACCAATATATTATGTTAAATTAAATTAAATTTAGTTGTCATGTGGGTATCACTTCTGAAATAATTTGTTGGATAAGTTGTAAGTGTGGAACAAAAAATACGGAATATAATACCACTATTGGTAATTTTCAAAATTTGAAGATCTATCAACCAGAAGGAACAAACCAGAATAATAATCAGATAACAGGGTACTTTATGTATTCAGTTGAATTTGAAACATGGAAGTTCCTATAAGATTTTTGTTAAAATTATGAATCATTAAAGTTATGATTGGAAAACACTTGACATATTTGATTTCATCTGTTATGACACAACTATTTAAATTCTTGGATTTGTGTAATGTTTTTAGCAAATACTCATGATTTAGGAAACATAACATAAAATAACGTTTTATAGTTTTGGAAATTTCATTGTACCCTATAAAATTTTATTGGCAATAACGAGACGGACAGTAGTAAAATAGTAAGAGATATTTACTACTGAAGTTGTCGCGTGCCGGTAATGCCCAGATGTTAGAAACCAGAATAATCCAGGTCTGGGCAGGGACCATCGTTACTTATGAACGGAAATGACCATTATTTTATGAGTACAACTACCTGCCAAATGTTCTCAGACAAATTCTAGTGAACTGGTGTGAGCCATAAATATTTCTTACCATTGTACTACTGTCCGCCTCGTTATCGTCGTAAAATTTTATAGTGTAGAATGAAATTTCCAAAACTATACAAGATTTCCTAGAATGTGCGACAATTTCAAAATTTGAATAAATATTATCGCATTATAACTATGTATTTTAAAATTTCATTTAAGGTGAAAAAGCTGATGCGAATGGAAACTTTTAGATATCGTCTTAAAAATTCAGGTACCTAAGGTTATTAAATAAGTAACATCAACTTACCTATTAGAATCAAAATAATTTAGCATAAGTACATTAACCTATGTAAATTAATTATCCTACATATTTGTCGATGAAAGGAAATGACCGAAAAATTGGGAAATTATTTCGTAAATTGATTGTACTCGTTTTATGACAATAAAAGATTATCTTCAAATGATTATTTGAAGAATTTCGACGTTCTGGAAATCCAAAACAACAACACTGAATCATCGATGGATTCACGAGATGCCAACCAAAGATAAACTCCGTCTGGTTCTTATCTCGCGATAACAAAAAAAAGCTAAAATTAAAAGTGATCGAAGCGGCAAAATAAATTATTTTTAATAAGAATAATTAAAAAAAAGAAGAAGACAGTTACCTTTGAAAATTATTTAGGGAGTCAAAAATATTTAACTTTCGCTTCATATAAAAGACAGGTAGCCACTTATAAACAACAGGTATTTAATACCTGGGTACATTACATAGGTACTATTAATGCTACATATTTTTGCTGCACAAGTAAATATTAACGTTACAGTTTTGGAAGGAACCCATATTGATACGATTGTTACACTCTAAATCATTCAATTTTGGGAGGTTAATGTTACTAGTAGTACTGGCTTCGCTTGTAATGAGTGTATTTTTAAGTATTTGCCTCCGCTTCATCAATTCAAGAAAAAATCTTCTTAGAAACTTGTATTTTTTTGGTCAATGATTCCTCCACGTAACCCTCCTCAATAGTAGAGAACTTCCATCCAATGTGAGTCAAGTTAGTAGGTCTCCACCGCTGTCAACTAAAAATGACGCCGAGGAGCGGCGGAAGCAATGTCTTGTGTATAGAGCAGAATCTGGTAACTGTATCTAAGAATTCAGCTATCAGTTTAGGAAATTTAGAGAACGTATTTTTTTCCACCGCCTGTACAGTGCATTTGTTACGCTTGTAATTAATAAAAAATCTGTTGTGTAGCACGTTCTTCGGTCTCAGGTCTTTATTCATTCAGTATAATTGTAAATAACGTGTGTTCTTGTTCTCGTCATCGACAACGGTAAATACTCTAGGCTTTTTGGTGTTTTGAGCATCTACGCGTTTTGTGAGCATTTAATCTAAAAATGAGCATCGGCGTGGCAAACAACTAAGCTGTCTGTAAAGCAGCTTAGAAAACGAGTAAGATCGTTGGAAGAGTGAATTTTGACTAAACATGGCCACTTTCATGAACGTGGAACGTCGTCAAAAGGTGTATTCAGTTTGAAGAACATATTAGGAGAATTTTTCAGGTAATTAATTTTTAATTATGCATAAATTGTGCAGTGCTTTTTTCTAACACTGGCCATAGAGATTTCCATCTCAAGTTGTTTACCCCATACTAACTTATATTTTGGTGACTCGATTTTTGCCTTGATGGTTGAACACTGTCACTGTTTTCCTTTTTTTGTTGTATCGAGATGCTACTTGAGCATCAACTCTTCTACTTCAGTAGGTACCATCATCTAGAAAAACTAGAAACATTTTGATTTGATATTCGAGTAGATACTTCGTATTTCGAGTATGAGCATTCAGTTTTATTCATACCAACCATTGTCGAAAAATTGGTCGAACGGTGAGTTAAAGTGATGGTACGTATTGGGAATAATAAATTGAAATGTGTGAAGATACCGACTTGCCACGTACACGCGGTATTAAAATATTAATTTGCGACAATAAGTTGGTACTCTCGAAACGGCCATGTAACAATGTTTGAATAAAGATTAGAGAAGCTAAATTTATTCTGCTTTCAAGAGAGTGCTCATTAGTCTGCTGTAAAAGATCTTGTGGGCCACAGTGTGTTACCGGGTAAACCCCAAACATTTTAAAGTATAAATATTTAATAAACCTCCTGAGAACTCTTTCCAAGGCATAAAAATGTGGCATTGATGATATGGGGACCAAATTACACAACCATATTCCAACCATGAACGAACAAGAGTATAAAATAACCTTTTGATACATTCTACATTTGTGAAGAGTTTAGTGTTTCTGACAATAAATCTAAGAAATCTTAATGCTAAAGATGTTATACGTTCAATATGCGGAATGAAAGTTAGTTATACCCAAGTCCAGTATTTCATTGCAATTAGTGAGAGGGAGTCCCTTAATATTGTAGTTGTACAATATAGGCTCAGATTTTCTGGAAAAGGTTATTTTTTTACATTTCATCTTGTTTAGCTCTTAGCCTATTTAAATCACACCAAGAGACCAATGAATCTAAGCTATCTTGCAAGACTAAACAATCATCGAATGAACTAATGATACGCGCCATTTTGAGATCATCAGCTAGAATACATACACTACAGTTTAAATTGTCTACAACATCGTTGTAATATATCAAGAAAAGCAGATGTCCAAGAGTGGACCCTTGTGTCACACCGCTCTTGGCATGAAATAAATCTGATTTGCAACCACTACATTCAACAAATTGATATCGACTAAACATAAATGATTTCATTAGGTCACCCATTGCATCACAAAAGCCATATTGTTCCAATTTCTTCAACAATACACAATGATGCACTCTGTCAAACGCTTTTGTGAGGTATGTGTATACAGCGTCCACTTGCTGGCGATTGTCTAGTGCTGAAGAAACAAATTGGGTAAATTCCATTAGGTTAGGTTCCGTGTTGATTAACACTAATCATAGGCAACATACGGGCGTACATAGCTTTGGATACGATACATTCAAATATTTTAGAAAAAGGAGCGCAATAGATCTGTAATTATAGATGTGCAATCTATTATCAGATTTAAATACCTATCCCGGTTGCTGACATCCATGGCAAGGCGGGGACTTGCGAAATTGTCAATAAAATATTATCTTGTTGTTTTATAAATATAAATATACTGATTTATAGGTAATCATGATCAGTTGTAAAATTCAGTTTTATTCCAAACTTATAGAGAATTTTGAAAATTCTCGCACATTTTCTTGGGATGATCACAATTCAATTTTTGTGCAGCATTCTAACAATGTGGATGATTGTGGAAATTGCTAGTGTTGCAATTGCTAATTCCAAAGAATGCAGTCCTTGGAAAAAGTTTAATTTAAACCCTAGAAATGGGGTGAACTGGATTTTAGAAAATTCAACACATGTGCCAGTGGGGTTCGTAAATGATAATAGATGGACAGGTAAATGCACGTTTACATGACGCACTGCGACTCTATAATCATTTATAGAAACCCTGTATTAATTTTAATCTATTGGTGTTATGATTAAAAAAAAAAGATAAATTCGAAACATTAAATATTATCATTTTGCTAACAAGCTGTACTGTAATTTATGGTCGAGGGAATTCTATTTAAAAAAATTTGTACTAATTTTTTTATATGGAACAGGTATATGTGATACGTTTTAGGTTATGAAGGCAAATTTTTATAGAAATTGTACATAATTGTGGTATTCTTTTTCCATATATCAACAATTTTGTAATGATATGTCAAGTGATTGCACATATAAGTTTGCGTAAGGGTGACTATATAATTGAAATATATGTATTTTTTATAGGAGTATTTATTTTCTAATTCTAGTATCAATAAGTTAATTCTTAGAATAATCTGTGACTGTGATTATAGACATAAGCATTTAAACTAAAGCTGTATTAATGTGTTGGTCAATAGAATTTATTACTAGGTTTATTTTTTCTTAGTCCTGTCATTGAAAAATATGTTATATTATTAAATTTATTTACCGTGTAAGGATCACTTTTGAAATAATTTGTTGGATAAGTTTAAACGAAGAACTTTTATTTTCCAAAGATTCGAGCTTGGGCAGAGGTTTAGCATACAAGAATAAATTCGTATAATGTATGTACTAAGCATCTTCTGGGCGACCTTTGCTTAACTCGGTCCATTATACAACACTTTGTGAGTGTGGAACAAGAAATACGGAATAAAATGCCAGTATCGGTAATTTTCAAAATTTGAAGATCTATCAGTTGATAAGGTATGTATTCAGTTTCTGTATGATAAGCTAAATTTGAAACATGGAAATTCCTACAAGACCTTTATCAAACTTCATCAATCATGTAACTGGAAAACACTTGACACATTTGATTTACGATACAACTATTAAAATTGTTTAATTTGTGCAATTATTTTAGCAAATACACATGAAACATAAGATAAGGAAACATTTTATAGGACTTTTAGATAAACAAGTACCACAAGGGTCAATTCTCGGGCCTTTGCTCTTTCCTATTTATATAAATGATGTGTCTAATATACTCAAATGTAATTTTAGCCTGTTCGCTGATGATTTCAAAATATTTAAAACTATTAGGGATAGTAACGATATGTTTTTACTGCAAAGTGACTTAGATTCTCTCTCATTGTGGTGTAAGGATAACTTAGTGAAATTAAATTATAGCAAATGTCAAGTAATATGTTTTACTCGTAAAATTGTGGCCTCATCATACACTCAATAACGAGAAATAAATAAATTAAACAAAAACTACAATTATAATTTCGACAGTTAGTACAACAAAAAATGACTACGCGTTTTAATATCTTGTGTTACATTTGTTTATACGAGTACGTATTAATATTATTACTAATTAACAATAAACACAATAAAGTAAGTTATTACATTATTCATATATTGTGAGTATTTTTTTCCAAGGTTTTCTGCAAAGTACGCATTTTTTGGGATTCCTAGACTTGACACTAGATGTGCAATTTTTGCAGATCACTTTGTGACCACATGGAATAAATGCGTTTTGAGCTTCGTTTTCTAGACAAATAACACAAACTTTGGTTGCAGATTTCGGAGGAGGGTTTTGCCGTGGTCCACTTCTGGGATCTGCTGGAAACGTTTTTCCAGAAGCTTGGTCCAAACTTAGAGGTTCATTGTACGAGTCCGGCAGTGGACGGGCAGTTGTATCTGTAATACATTAAGGGGCTAATTTCAAATTAACTTAACGACATCAGTGTAGCAACCCCGTTTTGCGACGTCGCTAAATTAACTTGAAATTGGCCTCATAGTGATTAGTTGTGAGAGTAAGAATACTAATATAATTGAAAAGGGTATTCTACACGTGATAACAAAAACTCTCATTGTCCCTTTTAGGTTGGCATTAACTACCCAAATAATGCAATCCACCAACTTCAAAATCGCCTTGCAATAGCAATAGTGCAGATTAGTGCGACGTATAAATTTCACGTATTCTGAAGGCGAATTATAAACTTTCATCTATTTCGAAGACGTGTAATTTTTCCTAGTATTAAGAATTATTGTAGCTGAACTGAGATTGTAGTAAAGTAATAAATAAAAGTTAACTCTTCGTTTATTACGAAATTTAGGTTGGTTCCTAGGAAGGTTTTGTTGTGGGTTCCTTGTGTGGGTTCTAAAACTTTCGTCCAAAATTAGCCTCTCAGGCGGGGCTGATGGGGTACCGCGTCAATTCGTCGCGCACAATTCGTCGCGCGACAATTGATCGCAAACAACTGATCGCAGCGTCAATTGGTCGCAGCGACAACTGGTCGCAATGACAACTGGTCGCAGTCACAATTCATCGCAACACAATTCGTCGCAAGTACAACTGGTCGCATGCGACAATTGATCGCACGCGAAGAATGATAGCGTTTATAGAGAAAATAAGTAATTGTTATGAATGAGGAAAATAAAATAAAGTGCTATATTCTCAAAAATTTCATTATTTCTAAAAAAGTATCAAAATCATCACAACAGGAATACACATTGCATTTTATCATGGAAGATAAAAATGTAAAAAAAGACAACAATAACTATCTATATGTATTAATTAAAGTCCAAGTACTGTTGCATACAGTGACATCAAATGTTCAAAATGTACTTCTTCGGTGGTTTAGCAATAATTATAATTGATCATTAAAATGTTTCAAGGTTCCGTTTCTTTTTTTTAATTTCAATTTTTATAACAAACAAAACTATTTATAAGCGTTAATATTTTATTGTTTACTGATGATAAAAATTTATAGACTTATCAAAATCAATGACATCGTGAAAGAGATCTCATTACAGTTTTAAGTGAAAAAGTATCATTTTATTACGTTAGATAGTTTAAAAAATTGAGTATTATATTTTTTTTATAAATTTGATGCAAAGAAATTTGAATCTACCTATATAATAAGAATTATTTTTGGAGTTTACTGCATTCTTTGCAGAACATTTTTTTGGTCACTACAAATTAGTTCTGGATTATCTAATAATCATGATAAAACCAAATATATTTTTCATTTAGAATTTTTTTTAACGCTCATTTTCGGATTGCTGGAACCCACATTTCTTACCTCGCAACTAATAATCCCCTATAATCCTCACAGCATGGTACCAAGTTGAGGTACGTATTCTGAAAGGAAATTCAAGGAAATCATTCAATGAGTGGCTCGAGAATATTGTCTGGTGTCATTACAAATTTCTGATTATTGTTCAATGTTTTACGAATAAAAATAAGTGCAGAAAAGTTTTTAGATTTTTTATTTAAAATGCTGTAAAAGAATAACAATAATATACATACAAATTATTACATGTCAGCAGTGTTGGGAAATATCTAGATACTTGTATCTAAATAAAGTATCTAGATAAATTTTTGGCTATCTAGTCTGTCTGTATCTAGATAAAATCGAATTTAAGCACAAAATATCTGTATCTAGATACAAAATTAATGGCGCAGATACAGATACATTTTTTTATTTCACTTTTTTTTTCTGTAGTTATTAGCTCGTACTAGTAGTAATTTTTGATACTTCATGTTGGTGATTTTGGTCACATAAAAAAAAATAGAGGTAAGAGGTCGACTAATAGTGTTCTGTCACGGAAATTTTAATATTTTAAATATACAAATTTCATTCGAGATACACCCACATAAAACTTTATGACAGATAATGAGCGAAACCTCTGGACAATTGCAACAGTAATTTATTGCTTTTAACACCCTATGCGACCAGATATCGGCACGTTCCAGTAGAATTTTTCAGGGCCGTACTCTGTTAAAAAAATAAGGTGAAATAATAGACAAATTGTATTAGTTAAATAATATTTATAAGATTATATTATAAGTCACTTTCAGACTCAGATGAGTAGTTATTTATTGAAATTATAATTTCGTTAGGCCGTGTATTTACCTACAAATGTTGATTCAACTTTTAAAATGGGCCGAATACAATTCTGCCATTTTTCAGAAGATATGAGTTCTGATTGTTGTCTAATGAGATTTACTACAGCGGGAGAACTTTCTGAATTATTATTATATTTTCTAATATTTCTTTTTTAAGTCACTCCATATTAACTCTAGCGGGTTTTTAAAGCATAAAAACACTGGAACAGACACTCAAATATAACGACCGACAAGTAAGACGTGAAATCAGTTATTGAAATGAAGACCAATTCAAATCTACCCAAAGTACGTTTTGGTATTTGAGTAAACAATTTCATTACCGAAATCAGGTAAAACTTTCAACTCAACCTGAACACGGGTCTGTATAAAATGACCTGTCAAGCCGTTTTCATAATTTATGGTTGTGGTTTCAGGAGCACCGCTTTTTGAGTGATTGGTCCCATAAAAATTTATGTGGGTGTATCTCGAATACGGTTACAGTACTGGAGGAAGTGCCAGATTTAGAATGATGGTTTCGAGCCAAACCGGTAAAGTGTCATAAGCAGTACCCCTCATTACCCAGATAGGACTGCCGATGACAGTGGCGTACAGTTTTTTTTTAAGCGACTCATGAAAGAAAAATTGTTAAATAAAACAACCCACATAACAGATTTATATTATCTATTAATTAAAACCATTTAACATATTTAAATAAATCAATAGATCATGAGTAACAAGTGCTACAAACAATGAATACCGTTAAAAAGTAGAAAAAATCGGGATGACGACGCCACTGAGTGGTGGTTATTCGCAATGGCGTGACTAATTTTTTTTTGGAAAGTTTGAAAAGTTTATTGAGGGGTGTTTCACTTGGAAGGCCGACTATTCACTCAGGATTATTTGCCTAATCTACCGGATGTAGCGGATCTAGTGCTTTAATTTTCTCCAGCCCATGTTGTAAATTTTTGTAGGATGCAAAGTGCGGGGAATAATAAAATCAGGTAGCAACCCGTAGCAGGGTCACTCATGAGAAGCTGCGAATGTATTATTTCTTCTTTTTTTTAGATCTAAGAGCCGAAAACGGCTCTTAGATCTAAAATAAAAAATATAAACACATAAAATTATTCTTACCATTGACGCTCTAACAAAAGTTTTTGCAATATATATTTACAATACACGTAAACCTTTCACGAACTCTGTAAACGATCCGCTGCAATTTACAGGGCATTAAAATAAGTATTATATCCGTCCAGTGGAATTTACATTCGTAGCATATAGATACTCTAAATGTACTATTAGTTCATAAATTTTATTGTTTGGTGATATATATAAAGGTAAGGTATTTTAGTACACAATATGGGCAGTCAATTTGATTTGCAACGAACACTCTTTAAATTTAACACATTTTTACAATAAAAAATAAAAATTGACTTCATTTCTGTTACGAAAAAACATGATACCTATAGATGCAAATTTACAGATGCTCAAAAATAATAAAAATTCATAATTTACAAGCAAAATTTTGAGAAAATCCAAAATTGTGCCATGCTGTAATGAACCAATGAGGGTAGTTTTCTTCCCCTACCACTTCCAGTGTTTAGAAGGGACAACTATCAGGTTAAATTTTTTATTTACCGTGTAGTCTGCAAAGAAATTAAGTCACCATGCCTTTACAATTTGTGATGAGTGAAAGAAATAAAAAAATGTTGGTGTTTGAAGGACACGTTCACATACAAGAACGAGAAACTGAAGAAAAAACTATATGGAAATGTAGTGAATATTCGAAACGGAAGTGTAAAGGTAAATATTTATTCGTTTTGTTGGGTTATTTGAACATATGTAATCAATAATGATATTTTATAAATCACAACCTAAATGGTAATTCACGTCGACCAATACGCGGCTGTTTCGTTACAACACGCAGCCACTCATTAAATTTTGTAACAACTTACTTTAATAAATCTTTCTTTTCTTGTCAGGCCGTGTTCATACTTCTGGAGAAGAAATACTTAAGTATACCGCACATAATCACGTTGGGGATGCCATTAAAATTGACGCCAAAAAAGCTGTAACACAACTAAAAATGATGTCAAAACGCGTTGAATTAAGCACACAAGATGTACTAGCTTCAGTTTCGAGTAATTTCACCACTGCAATAGCTGGTCAAATGCCCAGTGCATCGTGTCTAAAAAGGACAGTGCAACGAAGTCGACGTAGGGAAGAATGTGTACCACCGACACCTAAAGACTTACAATCGTTGATTATTCCAGATGAATACTCTAAGACTACGGACAAAGAAGACTTTCTACTTTTTGACAGCGGGCCAAGTGAAGAAAGAATCATTATTTTTTCGACGAAGCAAAACCTACAATTGTTGTTAAAGAGCAAAAACTGGTACGCTGATGGTACATTTAAAACAGTTCCCCAAATTTTTGTACAAATGTACACAATTCATTGTGTACATTTGAACAATGTGATACCTGCCGTATATGCTTTGTTGCCAAACAAGACGCAGCAAACATATACTAAAATGTTCCAAGCATTGAAATCATTACAAGATGGATTAAACCCAACGTCCATATTGGTTGACTTCGAAAAGTCCGCAGTAAACGCAATCCACCAGGAATTTGGCGAAACCAAAGTTCAGGGTTGTTTTTTCCATTTCACGCAATCCTTTTGGAAACACATTCAAAGATGTGGACTGCAACAGAGATATGTCACTGACGCAGATTTTGCGTTAAATGTAAAAAGTTTGGTGGCGCTAGCATTTTTTCCAGAAGATGCAGTAACATCAGCATATGACCAGTTGCTAGCGACTGATTTTTTCTGCAAGAATGAAACTATTTTGCAGCCACTTCTGACATATTTCGAAACGACATGGTTGGGTGTTTTAGACAGAAGAGGACGCAGGCGAACTCCACAATTTTCAATCTCTATGTGGAATTGTAGAAACTGCGTCGAGAATGATTTACCAAAAACGAATAACGCTATTGAAGGTTGGCATAATAGTTTTCGGTCATTGGTAAATTCCGTGCATCCCGATGTATGGAAATTTATTAAGTGTTTGAAAAAGACTTTCAGTCATTAAATGAATTAAAAATTCAACAAATTTTGGCTGGCAACTATAAAGTTCAGCAGAAGAAATCTTATAAAGATTTAACACAACGTGTTAAAACCATTAGTGATAATTATGAAAAATATACAGTTATTGACTATGTTAGAGCCATTTCGCACAACATTCAATTAAGCATATAAATTTGTAAAAAATATACCTATGTTTTTTTTTAAATAATTGTATAATAAATCTAGTTAAGAACAATAAACACTTTTTTTTTTGTTGAGTACTTATTATAATGAAGCTAGTTCCTATAATCTAAAATAAGCAACGATATAAATAGTAACAAGTATTAATAAAAAGTCTTATGTAACAAGTGGTTTACGCTCCTATTTTTTAATTTTTAAAGTGCAACTGCAAACATCGTGACTTAACTACAATAAAATTGTTTTTAATTCGATATTTACACCTTACCTGATTGCTAAATTTATTGCAACTTCAAATTCAGGATACAAAATATTTAGTTTTAATGAAAGAAAATACTTCCCGATGAATTTTACCTTGCGATCAATTGACGCTGCGATAAATTTACGTACGATCTATTGTCGCTGCGATCAATTTACGTGCGATCAATTGTCGCTGCGATCAATTGTCGCCGCGATCAATTGTCGCGTGCGACCAATTGTGCTGCGACGAGTTGCTTGCGATCAATTGTCGCGCGATCAATTGTTTGCGACCAGTTGTCGTAGAATCAATGGCGAGTTATGCTAGCTGAACTGAGACTGTAGTAAAATAATAAATAAAAGTTCTTGCATTACAAAACTTACTTCTGGGCATTTGGGCTATTCCTCGTCTACTGTCGATCTCTGATGCACTGATAGCCATTGCCAACTGTACTTCTAATGCTTCAGACAACTCATCCGTGGAGTCAAAGTGTCGTTCTAATTCTGGAGGTAATACAATCTCTTCTGAAGGTGGATCAAGTGTAACATAATTGTCAGTTGAAGTATGACGCTGGCTACAGGTTTCGCAGACATAATTTTCACACAATGTGCAGGCGCTCGTTAAAGCAAATGTCTCTGCTGCAGAATTATCGAAATTACTTCCCGGTACATCGAAATCATCGGATTCCAGCAAACAGGCGAGATCTCTGAAGACGACATATTTAGGATTGTCCACGAAAGTGGTACTCCAGGTTTTTATCAGTGTGAAAATTCTTTGAAAAACGCTTTCGGGAGTTGTAGTGTTGCTAAGCTTGTACAAAATGGCGTAGATTGAATTAGCTAATTCTGCGTGAAATGTTTCTCCTGTAAATAGAATAAATATTTGATTAATTAAAATTTAACTCTTAAAAAAATTTGCCACAGAAATGTACTGCAGTGACCAGATTACCAATATTGCCATAATTTTTTAAAAGGTTTTTTTTATATATCAAATTGGTTTTGGAATTTCCTGAATTTTTCCGCCTCGTTGTCATAATTTATAATCATAGGTAAAGTCGCAGACAAAATTTGGTGGCAGAAACGTCACTTTGTGTTTTATACATGGTGGCTCAGATAAAATTCTGCGCTTTATTAACTTGAGAACGGATAGAGATATTGAAATTCTGTAAACGCCATTGTTTTTAGTGTGAAGGGGTGAGCTTAGTTTAGTAAATCATTAATAATTTTGAAAATATATGTATGGTGGCGTCGTCGCAGTGCAAAGCTATATTTCTTCAAACTGTAACGTGTATTTTTTAATGTATTTTCATAGACCATTAAATTCTGATTACAATGTCATACAGTACATACTTGGAAATTTATTACATTTTCAGTTAAAAAAAATATAAAATTTATTTAAAAGATCCAGTTGAGAGCAATAAAGCATCGAAACAGTTGCACTAGCGATTGTTTTGAGAACTGTGTGGTAATAGTTTATGGATGGACAAACAAAAATACTTTATTTGCGATATGAATAAAATTGATTCTTAATAAAAAAGTCTAATATATAATTTTATAATTGTAACTTATAATGTTGATGTTCCAGTTTTTCAGATAGAACACACTGCATTTTGTTACTCTTTATAAATACATTGTACAATATAAATAAATATTATTGTAATACTTACCACAATTTTTAACCATAGAGTCCAGGATGCAAAGAGTCTGCAAATTGGTATATTCATTTCGTAAAAGAAGGTTTGCCTCTATAGCCTTCATCGCATATTTCGGACTGTAATATACGTAGAACTTACAAATAGTCTATATAATGTTTAAAATGTCAAATTTATCGTACTTAACATCATTTTCCACAACTAAATCACATAATTGTAGAATTCTATCCCAGTCTGGTCCATTTACTGTAGGGTGGGTGGCTTCATCTTACAACAAATTAAATAAAAATATTTTTGGGGTTAGAGTTATAAGGCGCTATCAACAAATATCCTAGTTGACACTGGATAATTAGGTTGTTCAGAAACTTCTAATTCTGAAGGGGTAACACAATCGGTTGTTGTAAAGGTGAATTAAGTGTAACATAATTGCCAGTATTGTTGTCAATATAATCAGCACATATTCTGAAACGGCCGTTTGCAACTGTTGAAAACAAGATAAAAGATTCATAATAAAAGCTCCCAAGAAATATCTTGCATGTAATATAGAGTTGTCTCGGACAGGAAACATCACACCCATTAGTAAAAAAATTGCGAAAGAAGAACTTTTACAAAGACGTACGTCAGATATATGGATTAGGTACCGTACGTAAACCAGATAGGTGTCTGGTTATTTGTGTCCGGTTGTGTTTCGTTGTGTGTTCACTTTGTTTTATATTTACGAAACTTCATTACTTTAATTTGGTTTGTATTTAATATTTTAACTCTGATGGTATTCCTATTCCAAAAATTCACGATACCCCACTGGAAAAGTTTAATTGTGATACTTGAGTGAGCTACTGTGCTGTTTGACCACTCAATTTAGGAGAAAGAAATTTTCTTTTGGTCGCAGATTTTTGGCTTCGACTCGCTATGTCGTGCTAACTAGAGGACAATTTTTGTTGATCGCATCTTAGATTGTGTCTTACCCAAAAGATTATTAGAACTGTCTTCAGCTCGAAACATTTCAAATTTTATTGCCTAGTTACCACAAAATCTGGAAAACTATATTTGAAGTGGCATCACATCAGCAGATTTTTTACTAATCGAACATGAACTAAGGAAGTACATATTGTAATAGGATCTAGTCGCCGAAAGACTACTTTCATGGTTTCTTCACGTTTCATGATCGGTAAAATATGAAACAATAGATCTACCGTTTCCGTCTGTCTGTCGTCTGTGTTGATTATTATTAGATAGATAATCTCCGAAACTACTAGATTGATTGTTTTCAAATATTATACGTCTGTTAGAGATATCGTGTTGATGGTAAAACGCTAACCAACATTGTCCAATTATCCCCCTCAACAAATTGATGACGTCAGCTCCACATTTTGCTGAGTAAATGGCACTGAAATTTTCAAAAATAACATAGGAAGAATTAAATAATAAAAATTTTAACAGTAAACCGAGTTAAGGTTGATCCATAAACCACAATTAGAGGAGTATATTATTTAATAAATTTTGAATATTCTTTGCTAAAGAAAGCTGACGTAATAAAATTGTTTGTGGAGATGACTGGACAAATTTTGGTTAGCCTTTTACCAGACAGACAGACGGAAACGCGAGACCTATTTTTTCGTACTCTATAGGGGTTATGAAACTGCGAGTAAACGTGAAGGCAGTCATTCGCTAAAATTTATAACATTTCTTTAGTTTACGCTCGGGAACTAAAAATACGTGTACTTACCCTTCATGAGATTCTTTTCTTAATTCTATTTAACCGTGTTCCTTAAATCCGATTTTGTAAAGCTGGATTTAATAGACCTAATAATTTAATATTATTATCAAAATACGAAAATCCGAAAAAATACAGGCTGAATCAGCGTAAATGACGAATAGGCACCCCAAAATACATTTTTTTCTGTTCCTTAAAACATAGTAAAACTTAACAAATATCATGATTCCAAATATTGTATTCTTTGCGACTGTCAATTCTGAGCAGCTGAAAATTATTTCCAAAAATGCCAAGATATTCATTTTGCCAACACCTAGAAAACGGACATGATCTTAATTTATGGAAAGTATCAAAAATTTTTTAATGGCGGCGTCATTTAGGCTGAATCACCCTGTATACTGTCAGGATAAAGTGTAATTTTTTTACTGCTTGCAGTATACTTAAATTTTTGTTTTGTAATGGGATTCATTAGATGAATAGCTATTTTAATGTTTTCTCTACATGTCGTGGGTTCTAGAATATGCAAAAATAAACTTACAGTTTTTGTTCGTCTGTCGTCTGTCCCCTGTCGTCTTGCGTTAGATACTACATTGGGAATAATGTTTTAAAGTAAACTTTTGAACTTTAAATAGGACAATGTATTTAGTTTCTTGCTAAATATTTTAGTTTTACGGTTATCATACATTTTATTTTAAAAATATTTGTTTTAACTGATAAAAAGATGACGTTATTATTTGCTAAGTTTTTTATTTTTTTTTTATTTATTAACAAACTCGTCCAGAATTACCATAATTTTGTTATTTACTAATGGAGACCTAATATTTCTGTTAATATGAGAAGGATCTGCCATGAAATATATATGTTTTTTGATTCATCAGCTGGATTAGAAATGAAATTTTGAAGAACAATTTTTCTATAGATTCAATGCCAAAATATTTCCACATCGCCTGATTTGCTGCACCCATATCTGTCTCAATATTTACAATATTTAGATTGGTTTTTGTAGTTAAAATTATTAATTCTTTAATGTCATCTCCCAATGACTGTCGACTTGTGGAATTTCCTGTAAAGTGATACGAAATGTGTTTAACATGTGAACATATTGATAAAACTAATACCTACCAAACACCTACCTCACATATTTTTAATATTCAGTTTGTTGTAGATGTGTGTAACTCAAAAATGTGCACTGGTTGCCTCAGGATAAGATTGTTACAAAAACGTCGACTGTAACAATTTGGGAGACTGCCATTGTGATTGTTTTACCACATATTTTTTTATAAATAAAGTATTAACATAACAGTATAACTCGTCATATCTGATAAGAACTAGAAGATTTTTCTCGAACTAGAGGTAAAGAAGTATAATAAGGAATGTTCATTTTATAAAGCGGACACTGAAAAATTGCTACTAATTCGAGTACTTTGGGCTAATTTAATTTTTTTTTTATAAACATGTTTAACAATGTTATATGAAACAATTATTCTTATTCTCTAATCAATTATATTCAGAAACTATCAAATTTTCTAACTATTGCGCGAATACCGCGAATCACTCTTTGCACAGGTTTGTTTGTGATTTTCTTCGTAGCAGGAGGCCACATTTTTTTAAATTCTCCAAGTCATGATGTTGTTCGGCCATCCTTTCTTAACACTGCTTTCATATTTGCCTATTATCGCTCAAGTGGACGAAGCTCAGGACAGTTGGGTGGTTTATCTTCCTTTTTTAAAAACTGTACATTATTGGCATTAAGAAGCTCCTGAGTGGCACCAGCATAGTGAACCAAAGCCAAATCTGGCCAAAACGATGGAGGGTTATGATGTTTGCGATAAACAGGCGATAATCGCGTTTTTATACATTCTTTCCTGTAATCATCGCCCCCAATTGTTCCAATCGTAAAAAAAAAAACTAAAACTTTTTAACCCACAGAAACAAATGGCTTGCCACACTAAGACTTTTTTCCCAAACTTTTCAATTTTTTTTGTTTTCATGTCATCGAGGACATCTTCCCCTACGACTGCATTATAAAACTGGGAGCCGGGTAGTGTATTGCAATCCATTTTAACCTTCGTTTCGTTGTCCATCAAAACACAACGATTTTTGTTCCTGACCAAAATTGTTTATAATTTCCCGCTTTTTTTTTGAAACTGTATGCGCTGCTTTTCGCTTCTTTTTGGGATTTTTTGCTTTAATACGTTCTACTGTTATTCTGAGTCTTTATATTTTGTACAGTACCTACGGTAATACCTTGCTTCTTCGGTATTTCCCGCACAGACATACATTTCGTTAATTTTAGCAGCTTAATGATGTTTTTCTCAATATTTTCGTTAAGCGGGCCTTTTCTCGGTCTGGATTTGAGCAAATCTTCTAAAGTATTAAACTCCCCAAACTTTTTGATTATTTGGAACACTGCTGATTTTGAACATTTAGTTATTTTAGCCAGTTCCCCCAACGGAAATTTTTCGTAGCATCACTTTTGCAAAAATAATTTTCTTGCCCCAATGGCGATTCGCTTCATTTTAAAAAGAAATAACGTTATTTTGAAAACAAAAATGGCATTTAATAGATATAATTTAAAGCTTTCATATACAAAAACTAGAATAATTTAGCTTAAAAATTAGAAAATTGGCGTTACTTTAAAGGTGTCCGTTTAATAAAATGAACACTCCTTAAGAGTCCATCGGGCGACTTATCACTTTCATATTTTCTCGACGTGTCATGACCTCTAGAATATGAAAAAAGTGCTCGCTCGCTTCTGTCTGCCTGTTTACCTGTGCTGAACTTTTCATGATCTTGTCTATGCTCACGTAGCACAACAAAACAATATAAAATTATAAGAATTGATAACATAATTGGTGCCGAGTCGTAGAGTTCTATTTCTTTAATAGGGGTTCGTTTTCGGTCAAAGAAGCACGTTGTCTTGTTGGCTGTTATAGTGACAACCGCTTTAAATTTAAATATGTTTGTAGTGACGTCATTCATTTATAGTCTACTAAGGTAATATTTACACAATTTTTCACTCGACAAGCTGATGCAGCTGTAAAGTTTTATTCCACTAAAAATACAGGTAAGATTATTAAATAAGTAACATCAAATTAATTGATATTAAGTTATAAGTACACACAACTACAATACATATTTACAATAAAAGACCTGCTTCGCTTGCAATGATTAATTTGAAGGACGTCGACGTTCGGAAAACCAAAGCAATAATCATCCGTGTCGTTGCACGATACTACGAGGTTAAAACATAAAAGATAAACTCAATAATTTAAAATCTAAATCTCGATTTTATTATTCGGAGACTCCTTTATGTATCCTTCCAGACCGTGTCTCTTTACAACTATTAAATCTGCCCTAGAGTCTGCTAGTAGCGTTGCACTCGAACGCCTAAAACTATGATTCGTGTATTCTTAATAATAATAATAATAATAATAATAATAATAGTTTATTTTCCAACAGGATTAACCCAAATACAGGAAAAAGTTAATAAACATGCTAAATATAGAGAAATATTTTAGACTAAAATTAGATGTTACTAAATGGCACAATTTAAATTAAGTAAATAAAAGTACACATAAATAACAGAATAAACAACAGACATAAAGATATAAATATTCGATAGAACAAGCGGTAAACTTATCTTAAATTAGGTTTGGTATTACTTAGTTTATGCTATACAATTAAAATTTAGATAGAATATAGCTATACATATAGAATAATAATAGAACTTTAATAAGTCAGCTACCGAAGTTATTGCACAGAAGCCGTTTAATACTACTAAAGCTATCGAAAAACACATCGAAATTGCTGCAGTACAAATTTGTGTTACTACATAATATGTTAATTGGGGATTTTTTGAGCATGTTGGTTCTTGGCTTGTTTAAATAAAAGGTTTGTAGATGCCTTGCACTAAGCCTAGTAACATTAATGTTCACTTTCATTAGCAGTATTGGACAGTCAATAAAATTATGAAGTAGATCATATAAAAATTTAATTGTGTGTATTGCACGTCGATTTTCCAGGGATAAACACTCAAATTCATGCAAAAGTAATGTTTGACTATAGCCACGTGGTGGATAAAACTCGTTGTGTTTAAAAAATAAATACTTCAGGAAGTGTCTTTGTACTGATTCAATGCGGTTAATATGGACGTCATAGATCGGATACCAAATTAGTGAACCATATTCGAGTTTGGATCTAACGAATGCAGTATATAAAATTTTTACACATTCTGTACTGCCAAAATGTTTACAGTTCCTATATATAAAGCCTAACATTTGAAAAGCTGATTTTACTACAGTATCAATGTGGTCAGAGAAAGTCAGTTCTTTATCGAAGAGGACGCCTAGGTCTTTCACCAATTCCTTCCGAGTGAGTGCGACATTATTAATCTTATAGGTGTATAGAATATAGTTAGTTTTTCTAGTAAAGGTCATAATCAAGCACTTGTTGATATTTAGATACAGCAGGTTAGCTCTACACCAATTATAAAGAGAGATTAAATCATTTTGTAAGATAATAGAATCTTCTATGTTATTTATTTGCCGAAAAATTTTTAAGTCATCCGCGAAAAGAAGTTTTTGAGATTTGATAACTGCAGGTAAATCATTAATAAATATGAGAAACAACAGAGGACCCAAGTTAGAACCTTGCGGGACTCCTGACTTAGGTATTATGTATTTAGAATGAACATTTTTATATTCTACTGATTGAGCACGATTGATTAAATATGATTTGAGTAATTCAATTAAGGAATCACTAAATCCAAATAAATGCAGTTTGTGTAATAAAACATAATGATCGATGCGGTCAAACGCCTTAGCAAAGTCGGTGTAAATCACATCGACTTGAGTATTAGAATCCAGACTCTCATGGAGAAACTGGCTAAAACACGCTAAATTAGTATTCGTTGATCTATTTTGCATAAAGCCATGTTGTGTGTCAGTTATTTTATATTTGATGGAGCTGTAAATATATTTGTAAAGAATTGATTCGAATATTTTTGAAAAGTTAGATAAGATAGAAATAGGCCTATAATTTTCTAGAATTGAAGAATCTCCTTTTTTCAAAACAGGGCATATTCGGGCTTGTTTCCATATATCTGGAAATAAGCATTTTTTTAATATCAAATTGAAGAGAATGAAGAGTGGCTTGACAAAAACTGATCGACAGTCTTTAATAACAAATGGAGGTATTTGGTCGGTACCAGCTGTAACTTTTGCTTTCAGTTTTTTTATTGAATCGCAGATATCTTTTTCTGAGAAAGAGGTAATATTTACAAAATTGGAATCAAAATCAGTTGCTGAAGCCTTATAATCAGAATTGGAGTCAGCATAAACGCTGGAGAAATAATCACCAAAAGCATTAACAACAGCTGCAGAACCATCAAATACTTCGTTTAGTGAATTTTTTATTCTATTCGGAATACGTGATTTATTCCTTTTTGTTTGTACATACGACCACAACTTTTTTGGATCGGATTTGATGTTTTCCTCTGTTTCGCTAATATACTTCTTGAACGATTCAGAAATTTGCCTTTTTATTAATGATCGTAGTTTGCTATATTGTTCATAAAAATATTGATTATTATATTTTTTGAATTTTTTTCTAAGTGAACTTTTTTTCCGAATGTTTTGAATAGTTTCTTTGGTAAACCAAGGGGGATATTT